GCATGAGCATGGCTTTCTCTTCAAAGAGCAGAGCCTGCAAGGAGGGTGCAGAGGAGCCAGATGGGGCCAAGCCTGGCTGTCACAACAGGGCTGGTGTTTCTGTTTGTTGGGGCCATGCTCTCCTTTTCAGGCATGTCAATCTCTGCCTGTAGCCCCGTTGCTGCAGACAGTGGTGCATGGGGCTGAAATAGTGGTGAATGGTGGTCCCACACTTGCCTGGCCACCAGTGCCAGGCATCTTCTGGGTGGAAGAAGGACATGTTCCTCAAGCCTTGGCTTGCGTTTGCTGTGGTTAAAAGGGCATCTCCCATTTTAGCCAGTTCACTTGGCTGATTCACTCAGTAGTTTTACTCCTGGCTCCCTTGTCTCTGCCCGGATCCACCGAGGACTCTTGATGGCAATGGGAGAAACCTGGCCAGTATTCAAGTGGTTTCTGCAACTTCTGCCCAGCATTGGATAAGTTCCTCGCACCGTTTGCTCCCCTAAAGCTTGGCTGCTCAGTGGGGGACCCATTCTCCTGCCTGTAGCTTGGCCAGGCCCTGGGATGGAGCAGGAGCATCACGCTCTGTTTGTTTGCTGCTAGGTCTCTGCTCCGCTTCTCATCCTGGGGCCATGACTTGCAACCCCATTGCAGACCAGTTGCACCTTAAGCCCTTCAGGGCTTGAATTGGAAATGGGGCAATCTTAGAAATCCAGCCAGCAGATGGGATGCAGCAGAGGACCCCCACCCCCCCCCCCCCCAAACTGCCTCCAAATGTCTGTTCCCTGCCTTGAAACCATTGATAATCCCCTTCTCTTACCACATAGTGCTGCCCATTTCCTCTTCATGTTCCTCTGTGGTTCACCTGTCGCTCACTGAACAAACAGCGAGACCACCTTTGGTCTGTGCCTTGGAGACCTCCTGATGGGTTTCCCTTCCTTTCCTCAGGGGGGAAGCTCACAGAAACAAGCCCCAGAACACTCTTGGGGGCACCTCCTGCTCTCAAGGGAGGTCTCTAGGCATGATGAGACAAGCTAGCACCAAAAGAGGTGGGAACAGGCTATGTTTGGCAGTCTGAACTCCTGCCAAGAGGCAGCCTGGTGTAAATACTCAACGTGACTATTCATTGTGTCCTAACAGCTCTAGAGCTCCATTTGTAAAGCAGCAGAGAAATGCAAAATTGTGTCAATGGATGTAATTTATATTGTCTCTTTAATATATAGAGCCCTGGCATTGATCTCGTGTGACTGTACAGATGAAGAGATGTAATTGGTTTTTAAGTGTTTAAGGAAAGAAACAAAAAAGATGTGTTTACTACTTTGCTCCTTGCTTTGTTTGCTGGTGCCCCAGGTGTTCTGTTTAGGGAGACTTTGAAATAAGGATATCACAGTTTGGAGGCGCTGAGAGCAGCAACCACTGGACCGTGGCACAGGACAGTTTAGTTTCCCAATGCACTAACTGCTCAACCAGGCTCATTTGGACTTTTTGTTTCTTTTGTTCAAGAAAGAACCAAGTTTTTGCCTTCCCTAGAGATTTAAAATGCAAGATTTGTCATTGGGTAAGAGGAAACATTGGTTTCTTGCTGTGTTACCCCATAGATAACAGCAGATGTACAAATGCCTCCTGAAAGCAGTCTTAGCTGCCCAAGCCACAGCATGCCAACAAGTCAGTACTTCCCTGCAAACCTCCCTTTCCTATAATGCAATCACCCTTCGCTGCAATTATGATGCACTGTGGCTCTGGGCTAATTTCCAGCCAATTCCAGTCTATTTGATGATGGGATGGCTCAGTCCCACTGTCCAGGTGAGCGCTCCAGTGGTGGCCAGCTGTCATACAGTGCATGGGGTATCCCTATTTTAGAAGCAAACAGTGAAGCACTTTATTTTGGTTGTGTTTGACCCAATTCTGATTAAAGGTGAAGTGTGGCCAAGAAAGACCCAATACTTGGAAACAAAACAGATATAGGAAAAGGGGGGGGAGGGGGAGGGGGTGTGTGTGTTAGGAGAAGCCCCCTCACCTCCTCCCTGAGCTGAGACCCACGGGAGTGTCACCGCGTGTATATACTGTAAATTATTTATTGAGAGAAACACAAGTAAAGTTTGAGGTTTTTTGACAATAAACGAGTGGGTCTTGGTTTGTTACCTTTTGCTTTTGTTTGGTGCGTTGGATGGTGCTGTTCACCACGCAGGATGCAGCTGCTGGCCCGTTCCTGCATTCACTCTAAAGCAGCTTGCTTCCATCTGCAACCCAGGAGAGGGCTCATTTCTGTCCTGAATTCTCGGAGAGTTGCACTTTATTTACCTGCAGCCAAACGAGAAAAATAAAAAGGGCTTGGGGGAAGAAAATGCAGGTGTTAAACTATTGGAGCGTCGCTGGGGAGGACGATGTGCAGCGACGGTACCAAGTGGGCTCTGTCACCCTTCCGTCCGCTGCACACCCCAGCAGCAGCGATGTGCACTACTGTGATTTCCCTTTGCTGGGATCTCTGCCTTTCCTCGGGCCCGGCTTTAGCCCCAGCTGGGTCTGTTACTGCCCTCTAATGAGCGAGAACCAGAACTGCACTTCTTTTTAGTTACTGTTCCTCGTTTGCAAAGCTGAAGGCCTCCTTGCCCCGGAGCTGGCGCCACAGAGATGCTGAGGCCATGGGGGAGACCGCCACCAAAACACACATTATTGGGTAAATGCATGAAAGGACACCCAGCACCAGGAATTTAAGACCCGAGCATCCCCGTCCTTCAGAGCCCTGAAGAACTGGGAGGTTCTAGAGCCAAACCCACTCCCTCTGCCAACACTTGCACCAGCTCACAAGAGCTTTAACAGACCCTAAGAAGTCAGCCATATAAAAAGTCATATAAAAGCTGCCCGGAGTACAGGGACCGAGGGGTTTCCCCTGCTTGCTGGTGACAGGAGGTCACCAATGGACCCTGCTCATCCACCTCTGCAAGAACACGTATCTCCTGTGCACACAAAGTGCTGAGGAAAGGGTATAGTGAGGCCTGGGTGAGCAAGCCCATGGGGGGCCCGAGGTCTCAGCACCCTGCTCCTCTGTGTGAGGCTCAGTGTGTTGTGGGGGACGTCTGGGAACAGCCGCAGCTGCTGAGCCGCGGGCACACAAAATGGCGCCCAGCCCGGCACCAGCGCCCCCTGGCACGCCCCAAAGCGCGGGTCGGGGCTCCTCAGCCGCCCCGTCCCCTCACGGTGGGTATGTGACAGGGCTGGGTCCTGCGCCCTGCAAACAATGGGCAATGGAGCCCCTCACGGGAGGTGCCCACGGCGGGAACCACGGCTCCAACCTGCGCAATAGGGACAGAGCCCGGCCCTACCCAGCACCAGGGATGGCCGCAGCGCTGCTGCACCACGTGCCTGTGAAGGAGACGCTGCTGTGGCACCGACCGGACCTGCCTGGCCCAGAGAAGGGGAAGTTGCACCGTGCCAAGGGCTCATTTCCTCACCGGCCGTGGCCAGGCCTCGGGTTCAGCTGTTTGCAGCGTGGTGCTGGGCTAAGCTCTGAGGGACACAGCCCATACCCTCACCTGCCCCTGCTCCTCGGCTCCTGCTCCTCCAGCTTTCCTGAGGGTACCGTGGGGATGAAAGAAGCCAGCTCTGAATGAAACACGGCACCTGCCTCCTCAGGTATTCACCTGCAGTGCTGTGGGCAGGGACACCCGGACCAGCTCCTGTCGTCCCTGTGCCTCCATCCAGCCGAGCCCCTCTCCCTGCTGCAGCCCCACAGCAGGAACCAGGTACTCTTTCCATTAGGAAATCCCCAGCTTTAGCCACCCAGACATGGCCATTCTGCATCAGCACTGGGATAAGGACACTGTGTATGGAGTGTCAAGAGCCAGAAGCTGGACTGAACTTACCTGTGCTGTTACCTCCAGCCCCAGTGCAGGAGCACTGCTCTAGCTGGCGCTGGGTGCGGTATCACTACTCACAGCCTGTGGTGACATGCCCACACATGCAGCACTGTCTTGCCTCCAGGGCCTGGCAGATGGCAGAGGGGATGAGCCCTGACTCTCTTAGAGGTGATGGAGCTTCTCCTCTGGCTCCCAGTCATGGTGGGACAGGACATCTGCCAAAAGCAAGAGGATGTACTCTGGGGCTACCGGAGGCTCCTGTATGGCCCCCAGGTGTGCTGCAACTCAAAAGGAGTCATTTAGAACAACCTTCCTCACCTTGAGACCAACCACCAAGTTCGTGATACCCTTGGACTGAATTAGGGTGAACACCAACCTCCCAGGTGTAGGTTGGTGTTCACAAGGCATGTCAGACATGGTAGGCTCAACAGTGATTATTTAACCAGATTAGGAAGTCCTTTGCCACATGTTTTTACTTAGATCTGATCAATATTCAATAAAAAGAGAGGAGAAGAGAGACAGAGAAAGGGAAGTTAAGAGATAACACCACTCATGGATGTAGCAACATCTTGCTGGTCCTCTTCACCCAGAGTATTGCCGGTGGTGGGAGCTCACCCTCTGACCTGGCTCCCCTGTCTTTTAGCATTCACATTCTTTGGGGCATTACTGATAACTCGCATTTGAAACCTGCTTTACTCTGATAATGATGCATGTGTTTTGGTGAACACGTGCCCAGTTCCACAGTTGGGTTCTGCAAGCGTCCTCTGGGTGGTTGTTGTCCTCATACCATGGTGTCTGCTATCTGACCCCATCTTTCATGCATACTCAGTCAGCTTGAGTTACCCAATAAAAATCCATTACATATCCTTCACAGTCCTGTGGAAGCTTATGAGCCTTGAACAAGGGGGCCATAGCGAACTTGTCTACACAATATCTAAAGTGAACAGACTTTCTTTGCTTTGTTTGTGGCTATTCTTACACCGTTTTCCATCATAGAATGCAAGTAGTGTCTGAGATAAGCTCAGTTTCCTGTTCTGACTTTCACACTGCTTTCTACAGACTGTAAGTGGTGTTCCAGACACACTCAGTTTCCTGGCTCTCACATTATGGAATATAAGCACTGACTGAGACAAGCTCAACTTCCGGACACTCAGAGGGGTTCCTGACACTCAGAGGGGGGGCTGTGAGGTGGGTCCATCCTTGGACTGCACCATGAGATCCTCTATGCCATGCATGGCAGAGTGGTAGGCCAGGTCCCCCCTGCAGGTGCGGGCGGTGCGGCGGGTGCAGTGCGCGTAGGCTCGCAGCGCCGTGCAGAACTCCGGTGCCTCCTCTGTGCCCACGTGGTGGGAGCCTGACGTGGCCGCCCAGAACTCAGAGTTGCACTTGAGGATCTTGCATGGGGATGTCACTGGAAGGACAACACAAGGAGGTCAATGCTTTGCACGCCTCATGTGGGACATCCCGCTCTACCCCCGGCAACACACGGGTGTCCCCCTCCCACAGCCCAAACTCATGACATCGGCTCTACCGCGCGATGGGGCCTCGCTCACCAGATGTGACCCTCTCACATGACCCAAGTCTCATGCATCAAAACCAAAGAAACCAACAGGATCTGCCCCAGTTTAAGCCAAGAAGGGAAAGAGCATCCAGCCATTGGATTAACGCTCCCGGGGGAAAACCAGAGTGTGGAAGAATGGAACATATTCATCAGCAGTGATAAGGATGATCGTTAATGTGGGGAGAGATGCAGTGGGGTTTTAATGCCTTTTTAGGGTTTGACATTCAAAGCTCTGTGCTGCATGAATCACTGTGAGCTGCGAGTAGACAGAGCTCTACCAAAACAAAAATCTAGATAAGCTAAACAGGTTGCACTTTCAAGCTCCCACTGGAAGGTATTTGCCCAGCCCTGTACCAGGCCTCCTTCCAGGAAGCTGGTATCCTACAGAACCCACCACCCAATGGAACAGGCAATGCCAATGCAGGACACATGCTCCCGCTCTCCCGAGGTCACCCCTGTCACTGAGGCACTGCACCGGAGTGGGTACCAGGATGTGCTGTTGGCCTGGGACATTTCCTAGTGAGCATCCTGTGGCCACCAAACGCACACCAGGGGCCTTGCAGATCACACAACCTGCATCCCAGTGCTCAGCCTTCGTTGGGACATTATATTACACATTGTTGAAGTAAGTGTTCAACCATATGCACAGATCTGACATGCTCAGCCTTTTGGGTGCCCGTTATTTCCCTTCTCGATGTGTCACTTGGATTTCATTTACCCAAATCATGCTCTTTCAAAAAAACAGCACAAAATCAACAATTCCTCTGATCTCCTGCAAATTCTCCAGCAAAGATAATTACTGGGAATTCATTTCATAAGCAAAAGCCAATTGTCCTGAGACTCTTGGGCGCATGTCACCCAGACCTGTTAACTTGAAAGCATTCACTGCTAAGAGATGTTGTTTAATATCCTCTTGGTTACTAACAGGTGGAAAGTATTTCATCACTCATATGGACAATGCTGCTTGGGCAGCCTCCAGCGACCCCGTTCACGTGGGGTTCTCAGGAGGGGTTGAAGCTTCCTCGGGATTGGGAACCCCCAATTTCCCCAAAAGCACAGGGGAAAAAGGACAAAGGATTTGCCAGGGGAAAAAAAATCCCCCTTTTTCCTATCTCCCCACCCCAAAACGCCCTCAACAGCAGCCCCCAACACGCTCCCAGCCCTGCGCATGGGGAGCACCGTCTCCGCCTGCGCCCCGCTCCCGCGGGCTCTGGATCACCTCGTTCTGCCAGTTCTTTGCACCTTATTTGACTGCTGACGGGAGAATCAAACAAAGCAGCAGCCACATCTCCTATCAAGTTCTTTCTTGCACCGTAAATCTCACAGCCCTAACGCTTTGCAACTCAACCGTTCCGAAAAGGGCGTTAAGCAACACAGAGGGGAGCAGCTCCAGAGCTTCTAGAAAACACACACACACACACAGGGAGTTCATCTTCCAGCTGCTGGGAAGTCCCCTGGGAGAAGCGGGGTGCGGAGGGACACCCCACTGCTAAGGGCAGAGCTGGAAAGGTTCTGCTTAAGATGCTGCACCTATGGTTATGCAAAAGAAAGGCAGGAGTGACTTGAGAATACATTACATTTTAAAAGGGAAAGTTTTACTGGGGGGGGGGGGGGTCGGGGGGGTCCCTCCCGTTTTCCAAAGCAGCAGGCACACCCGGGAAGGGGAGCACAAGGGAACCTGCCCGCCGCTGTCACAACAACCCTCCGCCGGGGGCTGCTTTCATTCCCACCATCTCCTTCCTTGCGCGATGAGACAAAGAAGATGAGGTCAAGGAAGAACCCGCACCGCGACTGCTTGGGAAAAACGGGGATTGGCGAGGGGGGAGGCACACACCGAACCTGAGCCCCGCTCGCTCGTTTGAAACATGTGGCAAAGCGCTGCAGAGAGGGAAGAGAAAGAGGCCCCGAGACAGGGGCCGGAGGCGGCTGTCCAAGGGCTGGAGAAACACGGGGGAAACGCTGCGAAATAAAGAGGCTGTTGCTTACCTGAAGGGAAGATGCAGAGAAAGACAAGGAGGATTTGGAAAAGTCCCAGGGCTGTGGATCCTGCCCCTCTCCCCATACCCATCCATCCAGCTCGAGCTTTAACCACTATCCTCTCCCTGGAAGAAGAGCTGGAAAACAAACAAAAAGAAGAGAAATGAGAAAAATAAAATAAATAAATAAATAAGTAAAATAAATCAATTTTAAAAAATGGGTAAAATAATCAAAGACTCACAGGGCATCGGGGGGAGATGCAGGAACCGGCGGCCCCAGCAGACTTTTACTCCTCCTCCTCTCTTTCCCCTCCCATCGCAAACCAGCCCACACCATCCATCCTCCCGCTGTGTGTCCTCCTCCCGCCGGAGCCTCCCGGGAAGGGGCGGAGGAACGCGGTGCTCTGGGCGGGAGCGAGAAGGGTTGATCCCGGCCGTGCCGTGCCCCGTCGTGTGCGGGTGTCACCGTTCACGGAGGATGCGGGAAGGGCTCTGTTGGTGCTGCCGCTTGTACCGCAGCTCGGGGGGGGGCTTCATCCACCCAACGGGGTTCTCAGCGCCTCTGTGCCCTCGGGCTGACCGGAGCGCTTTGGGTGCCCCCTGAATGAAGGAACTTGGGGCAAAAAGTCACTCTTAGAGTGAGGGGGAAACTGAGGCATGGAGACGGCAGGCAGCGGGGTTGCCGGAGCGATGCCGCAGCCCGTGGGACACTGACCCCCGGCACAAGGAGCTTTGCTGCTGCTCTGGGCTCCCCATGGGAGCGCTCGGGCTGAGCAGGGACACGGCGGCCACCGGCTGCTCCTCACGGGGGGTGCCTGGGAACAGCCCCAGCTGCCGAGCCGCGGGCACACAAAATGGCGCTCGGCCCAGGACCGGCGCCCTCTGGCGCGGCCTAAAACGAGGGTCGGGGCTCCTCGACAGCCCCGTCCCATCACAGGAGTGTGCAGCAGGGCTGGGTCCTACTCCCTGCGCCCTAGAACTGGTGGGCAGTGGTTTCAACCTGCGCAACAGGGACAGAGCCCGGCCCTACCCAGCACCAGGGATGGCCGCAGCGCTGCTGCACCACGTGCCTGTGGAGGAGACGCTGCTGTGGCACCGACCGGACCTGCCTGGCCCAGAGAAGGGGAAGTTGCACCGTGCCAAGGGCTCATTTCCTCACCGGCCGTGGCCAGGCCTCGGGTTCAGCTGTTTGCAGCGTGGTGCTGGGCTAAGCTCTGTGGGACACAGCCCATACCCTCACCTGCCCCTGCTCCTCGGCTCCTGCTCCTCCAGCTTTCCTGAGGGTACCGTGGGGATGAAAGGAGCCAGCTCTGAATGAAACACGGCACCTGCCTTCTCAGGTATTCACCTGCAGTGCTGTGGGCAGGGACACCCGGACCAGCTCCTGTCGTCCCTGTGCCTCCATCCAGCCGAGCCCCTCTCCCTGCTGCAGCCCCACAGCAACAGCCAGGACCTCTTTCCATTAGGAAACCAGTTTTTCAGGGCCATAGAACTCAGTGACATTTCACTGTTGGCTGCAGCTTGGCTCAGCTGCAGAGGCTGGGAAGGGCTGGACGCAGTGGCTACAGGTGTGAAAAGTGCTTTTTAGAATGAGCTCTTGTAACAGGGGGGAAATGGCTTCAAGCTTTGCACCATGTCTTGCCATGGGGGCATCACCAGGGATGGGTGGAAAGACTGAACCAAAGCAGCGCACAGGATGCCAGTGCATCCCGCCTGGAGAGAGGCACATCCTCCCGGGGCTGGGGACAGAGCAGAGAGCTCCATGGCTGCAGCAGGAGCAGCACTTCTTCTGGAGGATGGGGAATTCTCCCTGGACAGGGTCAAAAAGATCTTTACGTACCTGCAGAGATCCAGAAAAGACAGACGTTGGTTAAATACATAAACATTGGTGCCATCCCAGCGAAATGCTTGTGGAAATGGGCGAGGAAACGCATGGCTTCTCCTGATCATGTGGAAATTCCCATCCAAAGGGGTTTCCAAATCTCTGTCACCGCAGACTGGGAAGCTATTTAGAACAGCCAAGAACAACATGCTTATTCCTGCACTGTGAAAGCACCCATCACAGCATGCCCGGGGCTGTAGGGAAGGGTCCTGGGATCCCAAAACCGGCCTAAATACACTATGGACACCCCCCAGACTCACCAGGGACACATGATGAACACCACAGACCCCCTCAGACTCACCAGGGACACACCAGGAACACCACAGACCCCCTCAGACTCACCAGGGACACACCAGGAACACCACAGACCCCCTCAGACTCACCAGGGACACACCAGGAACACCACAGACCCCCTCAGACTCACCAGGGACACACCAGGAACACCACGGACCCCCCCAGACTCACCAGGAACACCACAGACCCCCCCCCCAGACTCACCAGGGACACACAAAGAACACCACGGACCCCCCAGACTCACCAGGGATGCACCAGGAACACCACAGACCCCCCCAGACTCACCAGGGATGCACCAGGAACACCACGGACCCCCCCAGACTCACCAGGGATGCACCAGGAACACCACGGACCCCCCCAGACTCACCAGGGATGCACCAGGAACACCATGGACCCCCCCAGACTCACCACACTGGCACTGTTCTGAAAATCTCCGTAACACTTTTTAATATACAAGAATCAAAAGTACAGCAGTTTTACAATGTAGGAAAATTTCATACATACTATATAAACAACATATTTACATCAGAAATCACTAGGACAGTGGGCATGGGGTTTTTTTTCTTCTTTCCCACAAATATAAATTAATATTAATTACTGTTTTTAGTCAACAAGTTTCAAAGTCCGTGTTTTTTTACAGTAAGAGTCCTTTCTCTCCCAGGAGGGGAGGCAGAGGTTTGGAGGAAATGGGTGAAAGCACAACAGTATTTTTGTGGGGGTCATTTGAACCGTTCACAGAAGGACTGTCAGAACACTGCAGTATCCGTCCTGTCAGGCACCGCATCGCCTGCACCTGCAGCAGGTTTCAGTCTGCAGGACTTCCATGGTGTGAATGACACAAACTTTACACCATTTCCAAAGGAGTCAGGCTGAAAAACTCTTGGTTTATAAAATAAAACCCCAGCAAATTGCTACTTTTTCCTGCCAAGAGGGAATCTCGCAGCTGGTTCCCAAGGAAAAGCTGTACCAGATGTTGCTACAAACCGCAGTGAAGTTTATGGCTGTGGACCTGTCCCCTCCAATCCCACTCACATCCAAGTGACTGCGCCTGGTTATGGTCCCTGTGCTGAGAGGACATAAAATGCATGTGCGTGCTCAGAGAGGACTTTCTCCCAAATCTAGTTCTCCATCTTCACTGGAACAGGTTGCCCAAAGAAGCTGTGGCTGCCCCAGACTGTGAGACTGCAGTATCAGGCTAAGGTGACAGCAGGGACAGCTCTTTGGCGGATATGGGAAAAGCTTTTGCTGTTGCACAAGAAGAAAACCCCAGCCAACCTCATACCCTGAACCCGGGCTGAGCAAGAAAACCCCCACATCCGCACACAGAAAATGCCTCTTGCTGGGGTTCAAAGTTTTCCTCCACCAACTGGAACACTGGTCTGGCCAGCACTGCCTTCTGCTACAAGTGTATGGCACGAGCTTTCCATCACAATAGCACCGCTAGGTGACCAAAAAGAGCAACTCTCTTTGCTCCTCTGAGGCTTCCTCCATTTTCACATGAAAAGGTAATACCTCTGAAAAGGACGGACCTCTTCGTTGAATACCACAGCAAGTGCCTGCAATCACAGCTTCGTGAGGAACGCCACTATCTCACACCTCCCCTCGCCCCACAGCTCCAAAGGGGGACTGTGGAAGGCTTCAGCTTCTGCACAGCTCAACACTAGTGTAACACTACTATCGCAGGGCAGGGCGCTCGCTAAGCAAGCAAAGCTGCCCTGCAGTTGGTGGAAATCTTGCAAAATAAAAACATCAAAAAGGGGAGCAAAACACTTCCCGTGTGTCCCGTTAAACCAGCGGGCTCGGGAAGGAGCGACAGCAGCAGGTTTCGAGGGATGCATGGCATGGAATGGGACACGGGGGTGTTAGTGTTGGTTTGTGTGTGCCTGCCAAGGCACTGCCTGGAGTCAGGAAGCCAGCCCTGAACACCATCTCCCCTCACTGTCTGGGGGAAAGGACATCACAGCTTATTAGGGTCAGATACTGGCACCTCAATAGGAGGTCAAGCTTCTGTCCCCCAGCAAAAAGAGTCTGGAACAGCCTGGTCTTTAACACTGAGCTCCAGGAGATGATGCACCACGCTCTGGGCAGCCCGGCTGCTGGGGAGCTTTGTGACTGGTCTCCAGGATGTGACTCTATGGAAAAAGGCCTAGGACCTGAAAAATCACCACCACCACAGCTACTTCTGGCCAGCAGCCTGTGCACAGCTCCCGTCATCACACCCGTCTCCAGGCTGAACAGGGTTCTGCACCAGACACTGAGGCTCCAATACTTGGAGGGGTGTTTGCTCTAAGTGCACTGAGCTGGGCTGCAGACTCCTCTCTTCCCTCTGCCATGCTGGGCTCTTAAGACATTTGCTCCAAGGGTATTTTAAGGACCCCAGTCCTGAATTCCTCATTCTCTCCCTGCTCAGTTAGGTGCTGTCTTTCAGTGCAGCAGTTACTGCTGACAGCAGCCCACTGCACTTCTACTAAACTCTACTCCACCATCCCTCTTCCTTCAGTTGCAGCAGAGGTTTCTGATCACTGTTTGGTGAAGTACCGAGAAATGACTTGCCCAAAGCCTAGAACACTTCAGTGGCAGGGAGATGAGGAGCCTCAAGATGCCCAGAGCCGTCTTTTGACCTTGCAGCACCTGGACCATCCCAGTTGCCCATGTCAGAAGAGGAGTTTTGTTATGAATTCCTGAGCTCTGCCCAGTGGGAAATACTGTTCTCACCTGATTTACTTCCTACCAGTTACAAGTTAATAAGCTTTTGCTAAGAAAGTCTGTTTTTTTTCCCACATAGCCCAAAGCCTCTGGAGTCAAGATTTGCCAGTTGTAGCCCTAGAGATGGCAGGTCAGCCCCACCTCTTTAGTTGCAGGAGACACAACAGCAGTCAAAGCAGAGCCAGTTCCTTGAAATGGATAGGGACATGGAAATGGTAATACGGCCAGGAAAGCTACGGATTGTCACCAGCATGGCTCCAACTCCTTTGGAGTCACTCTGCAGGGACAGCATGTCCCTCTTTCAACCAAGCTTGGCTGCTGAGGGACTCTTCTGCCCCTCTTTGAATATACCCTCCCCACTGCCCTATGCTGGTTTCACACAGAGCCCATCCCAGCCAGTTTATCCCCAGTCCCAAAGCAGCATCTGTCAGGTAACACAAGCACAGTCCTTAAGCAGCATCGATCTGCCTTCTTGGTTTGGGAAAACACTGGCTGGGGAAAAATCCCTTGGGTCCATCAGACTGGGGAAAACAAAACCAAACTGAATGAGGCAGCAAAGGCTGGTTCCAACGTTCAACAGTGGAAGAGGGGAAAGGAAATTGAGAGTTAAACACTGACGGGACAATTCCCTTGGATCCATTGGACTGGGGAGAACAAAACCAAAACAAGGAATGAGGCAGCAAGGCTGGTTTCAACGTCCAATAACAAAAGAGAAGAAAGGAAATGGGAATTTAAACTGGAACAAAGAATGAAGGGGAAAATGAGGGGAAAAATGAGGGAAAAAATGAGGGGAAAAAAAATCTTCCTCTACCTAATCCCCCAAATTTCCTCCCTGACCAGGAAGATGATAGCAGCATGTTCAAAGTTTCTGGTTGTTGTCTTGGAGAAAGCAGTAGTTGTTGCATCAAACCAAGTATTTCAGATGTCTGCCTTCTCCCTCTCAGTCACTTTATGTTTTCCGAATGTTCCAGTTATAATCTGGATTGGTCTTCTGTTCTAATGACCTATCCAGAGGTGACTTGGGATCGAGGGGGGATTTCTGAGAGGGGGGTGAGCGAGGGTCCGACACTCCAGCATGAGGTGGAGGGAGAGGCTGTTTGTAATCTCCCGATTTGTCTGTGTGGAAGGACCGGTAGTGGTCCGAAGGTCCTTGGCCATGGTATCCCATGGGTGGCCTGTGGTCAGACATCCGCCTGAAATCCTGCTGGTGGTAGTTCTGAGGCCTGAACTCATCAGATCGTCGACGCTTGGAATCGTGGTGGTGCCTGCAGAAAGAGAACGAGATGAATGGAGAGCGGTTCCCTAAGGAAAGCCTGGCCATCGCAGTGCTTCCCTGCACGTTCCTCCCAGCCTTTCCAAGAGGAAAGGGAATAATTACCTGTCGTAATAATCTCGATGGCCTCGGTGGTCTCTGTCACTGTTGTACTGTTCGTATGGCCTCTTGCGGGACAGGTTATTGGGTCTGTAGCTCCCAGAGCTCCGGTGGGGCTCTCCACGAGACCGCCGATCCCCGTAGTGGTGATCCTTGTACCAGTGCTGCTCGTACTGGTGATGCCGCTCCCCGCCCCACATCTGGTTGCTGTTGCCACCGTAGTTGAACTTCCGATCCCTCTGCCATTCCCCTCGGTCTGCAATGAGGAAAGCACCACTAAGTGTCTTCCATGCTCTAGTTTAATGTGCTGAATTCTCAAAGAAATGGTAACCTGACCAGGTCCCAGAAGACTTTGTGTCCGAGAGCAAAGAGCCATTAGGTTACAAGGCATGATTTCTCCTGGCTTGCAGCACTCACCCGTGTTGCTGAAATGTCTCTTGTTTGGATGGCCATAGTTGTCCCGCGGGTGCCCGTGCATCTGCTGCTGGGCGTGGGAAGGGGGCAAGTGGATCTTCTGGGAATGAGGGTTGTGAGGCACGTGAGACTGGGACATCACAGAGTCGCGGCTGGAGCCTGAAGGCTCTGGGCGGAACGGCTTCTTCATGCTGGACATGTCCTCCTTCTTCTTCTGCTCCTGCAGGGTGGAAGAGAATGTTACAGCTCCACTGCTCCTTCACCAAAGGATTCGGACTATGTGAGCAATGGCCTTGCCTGTCAGGCTCTGGAATGTTCTTCAGAGTCCCCATGCTGTGGGCCACCCACCTCTTTGAGCATTTGGAGAACCAGCTGTGCCCAAGCATGGTATAAATGGCAATGGCACAAATGTAATGGAGGACAGGGACAATGTAGCCCCACACGGCCCCCCTT